AAAGAGGCTATCTTTCCTCCAGTGAGGGTGTTTGGCTCCTTTATCGAAGATGAGATGGCTGAGTATGTCTGGCGTTGTTTCTGCATCTTCTAATCTGTTCCACTGGTCCTCAACCTATGTATAATATTTTGTCCTGTACATACATACATTTCTGTATGGTAAAGTTTAATTTATAAATTAGGCAAGGTAAGGGATTAGCAACAATAACTAATAAGAGAACAATTACTTGGTAATAAAAGTTATATGAATGTGATCTCTCTCTCAAAATATGTTACATTTTACTTTTTCACCTAAAGGTAGCACTTTGTGGCTTCTCTTTGGCATATCTAAATTGCTAGCACTAATATTCTTGTGCCTTGAGGCCATTATTAAGTAAATTAAGGGTTACTTGAACACAGGCTTTGTGATACCACAACAATTGATCTGATAATCAGGGGAGCTATTAAGTGACTAACAATATACAGTACAGATACTCTGGACAAGAGGATGATTCATGTTCATGTGGAAGGTGTGGGGTGTGCAAGATTTTATCATGCTACTCAGAACAGCATGCAATTTAAAATGTATGAATTATTTATTTTTTGAACTTTCCATAATTGATCGTGGGTAAGTGAAACTGTGGAAATGAAATTGTAGATAGAGGAAGAGTGTGGTATTATTTTTATATTGGCTCAATTGATTATTCCTGTTTGATAATATCAACAGTATACCATTGGCATTTGTTTCTTGAACTTAAAGAAGATTATTATTTGAGGCCACTTGAATATTGTCTGGAACAAGCTGAGCAAACTATAGCCCATGGGTCAAATTTGTCCACGGCCAATTTTGTAAATAAAGTTTTACTGGAGCACAGCTATGGTCATCCATATATATTTTGTCAGTGGCTCCTCTCATGTTACAAAGAAGAGTTGGGTAGTTGTGGCAGATACCATACAGCCCACAGATCCTAAAGTATATACTCCCTTTTTTCCAGAAAACGTTTGCTAACCCCTGCTAAAGAACATTAAAAAATATTTATACACACACACACACACACACACACACATATATGTATGTTCAAGGAATTCTTTGGACAAAGTCTATTGATATTCACAGTTCATTTACTCAAGAGTACTTATTGAACACCAGTTTTGTACTAGGAACAAGGCACACAACATCTTTCTTCTCATGATGTTATCATTTTAGTGTAGAGGAGACAACCAGTTATGAATATTTTCCTCTTAAAACAAGTAGATCTTTTTTTCTTGATGAGATAATTCATTAAATTGCTAACAAAATATGATACTAACAGATTTACCAACTGCGTTGAACTTTGGCTAAGTATAGGTGATATAATGTCCATTGTTAATCAAGGCTTATTTTCTTCATCAGAAAAGTCTGTAAAGGTCATCCTCTTTTTAGATTATTTTGAGTTCTTATCTACATTTAAAATTATGTAAGTTGGATTCCTCAGTGTGCCTGTAAGGGGCTCAATAAATATGAATATCCATAAAGTGTATTGGGTTGTTCTGTGTCAGGTTTTTTTTCAGAGAAATTTAATGCTACAATTAAAAAATTTGTAGTGTGTCACTCTATTAGATAATTTATATACCTTATCTCATTTACTTCTAATAACTCCATGGGTTATTATTAGAGTTCCTATTTTGTAGAACAAACCAGAATTTAGTAAGATGAGATAAAACAGGTAAGACATGGATCTCCCATTGGTATTTTGGCCTGGCAAACTGGGGTGCTGAAGCTCTTGGTGGTTGTGCTGTTTAGTGCTTTTTGAGATTTGTAAATAAGTATTTTCAAGTTGGGAGTATTACAAGTGTAACTTTAATTTTACTTGCTCTTTTATTTTTGGTATGGAACATTAACATTTGAAGATACAGGGGTTAATTTTCTTTTTCTTCATATCTGTGTGTTTGCCTGTGTTTAAGATAACAGCATAATCCAGGGAAGTGGAAGAGAAGGAATCTGCAAAGAAAAAACCCACATAAATGTAACACAGCAAGGAAGAAAGCGAATTTCATCAGGAAATTCAGAAAGTGTATCAGGAGGACAAGATGCAGGGAAAAAGTGCAAAGATACTAATCAAGAAGAGTCTGTCATTTCATCCAAGGTGATTTTTACAAAGTTAATCAGTTGATTGTTTTATCAAATTTCTAGATAGGAATTATATATTGTATATATCAAGAAGACCAAAACTTTTTTTTTTGTTAATGAGTTTATGAAGACTAAAAATTAGTTTACAGAAACTAATTCTTAGTATATGGATTAGTATTTGCATTGCAGAAAACCAAGCCATTAAATTTAGAAATTTTCAGAGTGAAAAAAAAAATGGAGATCTCTTTCCTCTTGTCATAATTTGTCACCTTTATTCTGAAAAACTGGCTGCTTCTATTCCATTGGTCATTTGTGGACTGCACCATGTTTTTCTTGCTAAGTATAAAGAGAACAAATGAGGGAGTAGTTCTTAATAATTGGTTGCAGGATCACTTCTTCAGTGATCCTAACAGTATTAATAGACCTTTCCTTTCTTTTTTCAGGTTTTACTAACTCACTAGAATGATTTGGTTAAATTGGTTTTCCATGACACTGGATATTTAAAGAAATTGAGATGTATTTATTGGATGCATTTTTGAAAATAAAGATAGAGATGGCCTCAGGGTGGAAAATTGAGGCATTTTTCTTCTCTACAGAAAAATGGCTTAAGGTGACAGTTTTCATGACCCTTGTACACCACTGGCTGAGTTTTGTAAGGTCCCTGTCTTTTTAGTCTTAGGAAGAGTCAAAGGCATAGGGTGTTGGTCTTGGAAAAGCATATGTGGGAATACTGGAAATGTCTGAGCAGCCATTTGAGTGGTCAGTCCTTTTATATACCACCTTTACTCCTGCCTTTTCTCCCAGAGAGATGAACCAGCCTGTCAGTGAAACCACTCTTCCAGCTAGGAAGTGGGCCGTCACTATAGACTGAACTCCTTTGTTTACTTATGGAGTCATGTTTTATAAATGAAAACAGAATGTATTCTGGCTCATGAATATTTACTATAAAATTTACTAAAATAAAACTTGTCTCACATAAATGTTAGGCCTTCATATACTCTGAATTCTGAACATATCAATTGATGCTTCCTTTTCTCAAGAAGAGGAATTATTTTGTTCAGAAGATATCTTTAGCATAGGTGTTTTACTATGTTTATCCCAACTTATGAAATTTGATAATCACAAGAAAAACTTTAAGGAACATTTTAGTTGATAAGTAGATCCAAGATATTTAAGGTATTTGTGAGGTTTTGATGACATCAAGGAAGCAGGAACAGTTAGGTCCCAGGACGGCCTAAGCTCTACTTGGCTGATTGCTCTTTCTATTATGACTTATGTCTAGATTTCCCCCTAAAGCCTCATGTGGTGATAGGTGAGACTTCTCAGAGGAGGCTGGATTTAGAATGTATGATGCTAGGATCAAAGGTGTGTGATTACTAAATTAGTTCACTGATTAGTTTGGCATAGTTCTGGGTATGGATAATGTAAAGGCCCTCCCTGGGTGTGAGTGCTACTCATCCTAAAGGTGAGTAGCCTGGATAGAATACAAGGGACAGGAAGAGGACTGCTGTCTTCACTTGCTGCTTGTCACTTGCTTCTTGCTGCTTTTGTTTCTTCTGCCTGCTGTGAACTGTTTCTCCTCTGTGATGTCCCTGTGCCAGGCCAACCCACCTTGGAGCCAGCTGATTATGGACTGAAACCTCTAGAAATTGTGAGCCAAAATAAACCTTTTTTCTTTTAACTTTGGCTGTCAGATATTTTGTCTTAGCAATGAGAAAAAGTAACTTAGAGACTCTTTTAGGGCTTCTCTGCAGGATTTACCTCTTCTAGTTCAGGAGAAGCAGAGCTCAAGCTTTAATAACCCATTGTACAGGTCTCTGGTATAGTTGGGCTAGGGGCATGACTGAGACTGAAGACCTGAGCAGGACCTTTCTATGGCTTACCCTCCATTCTCTGCTCAGTTTCAGTCTCAGTCTTAATCCTGGTGAGCGGCTGGTCCTGAAAAGATGGCTACGATCTAGGACATGTGAAAGAGAAAATTAAATGTGAGAGGAAACAATAGGTTAAGCTCATCTATCTAGTCTGATAGCACAAAGTTACCAGTTACAGGGAACTCAGAATGGTTTGGCTAGGCCTGCAGAGTAGACTTGCATCAATTTATGTGATAAGAATCAATTACATTTTCTTAGGGAAGGGTAAGAAAAGAAGTAGCAAGAAGGGACAGAAATCACCTTCCTATTATTAGGCCCTGCTCTGATTCATTTGCTCTGTGGGACTTTTGTATCCGTAGACTCTCAAATAAACTCTCCCAATTGTAACGTGCCTTCAAAGTTGAGAGCTACTGAGAGTATCATTCAGTACCTCTGAGGAAAATGGATTTACACAAGTAAATCCAATTGACACAAGTAAATCCAGTTTACACAAATCAAATGCAAAATGGTATGTGAGAAGTATCCTATGTCTGTTGCCAGCACAACACTTAGTGGCTTAAGACAACAGTGCTTTATTATTTCCCTTCATTCCATGCATCAGCTGGGCTCATTTGAGCAAGTCTTTATCACATGCTTTTGGTGTCAGCTGGGATTTATTTATCTGCATTGGCTAGACACAGTGATGGCGAATCTTTTAGAGCTTTCAGTGATATAAACAGTCCTCTGTGGCACATGTGCCATAGGTTTGCCACTGCTGCCTAGAGCATTTGAGATGGCTTCACTCATGATTGGTGCCTCAGCAAGAGTTGATGGAATAGCAGGGAGCTGTCTGGTTCTGCACCATTCACTGATCTAGACAACACTTTCACCTGGCACTTGAATCCTAAGAGTTGTGAAATAGCAGCTTCCAGATTTTTTAAGGTCTAGGACTGGAACTGGCATAATGTTATTTCTACTACATTCTGTGGTTTGAACAAGTTACCAGGTCCCAGGTAAACAGAACAGGAGGTAGAAGGGCAAAGAAGATAAAAATATGAGTTGAAAATACTTAATCCAAAAATTCAAAATGCCCTGAAATCTGAAACTTTTTGCATATTGACAAGACACTCCAAAAGTTTTGGATTTGGGAGCATTTCAGATTTTGAATTTTCAGATTAGGAATGCTTATAAATGATAAGGTATATGTACATATATCCCCCCAACCCCCACCAAAGAAAATAACCTGAAATCTTAAATTCTTTTGATCCCAAGCATTTTGGGTAAGGGTTATTTCATTGACACAGTCAAGAAGCAAAGAGAATCTGAGCTATGATGGTAACTTTAAGGATATTAAGGAACCATTGGAATAGAAAAATATCTAAGAAGCAAAACTGCAGGACTTGTTGCTCAGATCTGGAGAAAGTGAGGGAAAGAAGGGATGACAGATTTCCAGGAAGGATGAATGCATGCATTGTGTTGGCAGAAACTATGGTAGAGAACAGAGACAGGATTTCAGTTTGGATGTTTCAAGTTTGAGGCACATAGAATATTGAGGAAGAAATAGTTAGATAGTGATTGGATATGTGAACATGAACCTCAAGAATGAACCCATGGTCTGGACTATGTATGGACCTTTGACCTTATCAGCATGCTCAGAGGATGTTATACTCTTTGAGCTAAAGTTTGAAACCACAAGCTTGTGTGGATTTTATCTGTAGCTAATGACTTAAGAAAGTGAAGGGGGAAAAATCATGTTTTCTTTGCTTTTCAATTAGCCTTCAGCTGCCTGTCTTCCAGCCTTCTAATAACTTTCTGCCTAACATCTAATATATATTGTTATGGTTTAGATCTAAAATGGCCCCCAAAGCCTCATTTGTTTGGAAGGTGATTAGATTTTGTGGGCACTATAGCTGACTGGCTGTTATGAGTTGGGATCTTATTTAAAGAGGCAGGACTCTAAGGGTGTGACATGGCAATGCAAATCTCTCTTCCTGGCTCCTCCTCCCTTTTTTGCTTCCTGGCTGCCATGAGGTGAGCAGCTTTCCCTGCCAGACCCTTCTACCTTGCCTTGGAGACCACAGACTAAATAAACTTCTCTTCCTTTTAAGTTTTGGTTGTCTGGTGTTTTGTCCCAGTGGTGAGAAAAGTAATAAGACATGTAGTTTTACATTGTAGGAGATCTAGCCACTCCATGAATCTTCATCCTTCTACTAAAGACTTGACATTTTCATCTAATCTTAAGGAATAATCAGTGTGCAAGGGTAGAAAAAATAGAGCTGTTTTTCTCTCACTTGCCATACAGAGCACCTTCCCTCTTTGTTGTTCTCTCATTCACCGGTTCAGCGACTTGCTCTAGCTCATGAGCTTTATAACTGGCACACTATGAATTTATGTCTCAGCAAACTTATAAATTACTGCATGTAATGGATTTTGGGGATCATTTATGAATAATTAAAATAATGAATTTTAAATTTTTGAATGCCAAGGGTCTACTCTATATCAATATTTCATGAGTTCCATAAAGAGCATTACAAATTCCACCTTTTGTGCCTCTTAAAATATATTCGAGAACCCCTGATCCATAGTACTGTATTGATAGCTGTGACTTTAACATTTCTTTCTCTTTGAAAATAACATGCCAAACTTATTCCCTGTGAGGACTTAAATTTTTTTTAATAAAACAAATTATTTTTATTTCATGGAAGTAGAGTGAGTTGAACTGTGATGCTATACATTTCATTTTTTAATATTTTATTTTCTTTCTTCTTTTTTATTGCTACTATGGATTGAACCCCAGGCCTTCTGCATGCTACACCAGCACTCTACCAATGAACTACATCCCCAGCCTGGTTTTTAGTTTTTAAGTAGCATAATAATACATGATTATTGTCAAAAGTAAAATACTCAGAATCATGTGGAATAAAAAGTAAAACCTTCAATTTGCCTTATCCTTTGATCTCACTGTTTTACTAATATTTTTATATCATTCTAAAGCTTTTCTTTTGGATTTACACAAGTAAATAACACAAATATATAAGGAATATTTTAAAAAGATAAATGCTATCATAGTACAGTTCTTGCTTGTTTAAAAACATCCTCAGATATGTCATTATTTCAAAATCTGCATAATGTTTCATAATAAGAATGTATTCTAATTTTTTAATTACTTTTTTAGTTGTGTCTTTTTTTTTTTTTTTTTTTGCAGTAAATATGACAGGTTGTTGAGTAGGATTTTTTCCTGTGTTTTTGCTACGGAGTCCAGATGCTGGGTACAAAAGTACTGAGTATAGGTCCTGGGAAGCCTAGTCCTAATACCACGCTCCTTGGTTCTTGTGTCTTCAAGGAAAGAGTTCAGACAAGACATGTGAACAGTTGTACAGAGTATAGGCAGAATTTATTGCAAAGTGATAGATTTCCAGAGCAGTAGAGAGAATATACTTTTAGGCGTGAAAGTAGGCAAGTGCCAAGATGGCAGTTGCCCTGAATTAAGGCTCAGCTACATTTATATGATTATATCAGTGTTCAAGGAATATCATTTCCTTCCTCCAAGGTCATCATTCTTTTACAAAGAAAAGGGAACTGTTTTGACCAGCTTCAGGGGGAAGAAGGTTCTTATTTACTCTCTAGGTGAAATGTTTGAGTGTAGTTTGTTTTGAGACCTTGAGACTTTTTCTAAACCCTTATTTATAATCTGGACTTCTGAACTTTGTATGGCCCTGGACCTTATCAGCAGGCTCAGAAGATGTTACATTCTCTTGGGCTATAGCTTGAAACTATAAGCTTGTTTGGATTTATCTATAGCTAATGATTAAGAAAATGGAGAGAAAGGGAAAAAAGAGTACATCATGTCTCTTTAATATGTAGTCCCTAGCCGCCGGACTCCAGGCCTGCTAATGTCTAACTTCCTGCCTAACGGTGTCCCATGTTTGGAAGGAGGGCAGTCCCTCCATATCTCCCAGTTGTGAGAACCAACCCTTTCCCTGTGAAGCTTATTGACCCCCAGGCTTTATCCAAGAGGTCAGGAAGTGTACGGGAGAGAGCAGTATTTGTAGGGAGATATTCCTTACTTCCTCTCTAAAATCAAGAGAGTGGCACTCTTAAGAGAGTTACTTGCGAGTTTGGAAATGCCAACAGAAACAGAAAACTGGTGTTTTATGCTGGTTGATTTACTGATCTACCCATTAGTGAACCAGGAAAAGGAAACTTTGAGAGAGCTGACCCAGTAGGGAAATGTCAAGTGGGGAGGCAGGTCAGGGTTGCCATACTTTCATTATGGATCTCCAGTTGCTGGTATGTGCCATGTAGTCCTATAGTGGAGGATGATGAGATTGGGGTACGCTTGAGCAGTTTGGAAGCAGAGTGTATGGTTCGAGATGTAGCATGAGTGCCATCAGCAGCCAAGGGTAAGCTACACGAGAGAGCCAAAATGATTACTTTTCCTGTAGGTTATCTGGTATTATACAGAATTAAAACCTACATTCCATTTGCAAAGTGATTAACCAGTTTGAGTATTTTGAAATAATATGCTGTGTTTTTTAAAACTTAAAATAAATAATTGGTCCAGAAGTCATTTTAATAATATCTTCAAAAATTTGAACTATTGGATATTAAATAATATGGAAACCAGCTTTTTCCAGATGGCAGCCGACATACAAGTCATTACTTAAAATGGAAATGAACATTTGTGTGCATTTGGTATGCTGTTATAACATCTTAGAAATGGCCACCAGGACCATTGTTTAAAACTGGTGTTTATCTGAGCACTTTCTGCTTTACAAGAAGTAGAAGTCATTAAGAGATCATTTTAAAAAAATTTTTTTATGTTTACCCTTTTGTTGGTACATTTTAGGTGTACAGTGTAATGACATTCATCATAGGAGTTAGGCACCTTTACATACTCTCTTGGTTCTTATTTTTTCCCCCTTCCCCTTCCCTCCCTTTAACCCCTCCATCCCTCCCTATTTACAAAGACTTTGTTTCCATTTTTTAATTTTCTCATAGTAATTCCATTCCCTTCTTTCCTTTCCCCTACCCCTCCCACTTCCTCCTCCCCTTTGCCCCTTTTCTTCCTATTTCACATTATCTATTATACCTTTTAGTCCTTATTTATACTTTCAGTTTCTCA